ATTTAATCATTCTTTTAGAGTGAAAAATTTTCAATCGTAACAAAGTGTGACTTTCGATTTTCTCCACATTTCAGTCGAAGAAAGATTGAAAATCGATTGAAAAATAAATCGATTTACATTGATTATATTTTCAGTCGTGTAAAAGAGTGATTTTCAATCGTAAACGTTTGGTCCCTAAGAACAGTCTGAAAAAGATTGAAAATTCAATCGAATAGATTGAAATTTCAATCGTTTGAATTAAGAGAGTATGAGGAACATGCATTTCTAGCAGATGTTGGTGACGGCACTAGACGTTTATGGTGCGCTTGTAAGAGCATATATAGTGATATAGATTCGCTTAAATCTGTGTCTGGTTTTAAATTTTGTGCCGAACAAGAGTTTGCTTTGCGTAATGGTGCGGGGTATTTGGTGAACGATGGTGACACGGACGATTTTCACTGGTTGGTGAACGTTAAGTTAAATTTCCTCAAGCTGAAATTTCTTGGCTTTCTTAAAGTTGATTTTTGCCATATTCTTAAGATGTATAGGTTTAAACTTTCGGATCATCATTACTGGAGGATTTTTCAACACTATAATATCCTTATACATTTTCTCAAGGAAGGTGGTAGTGTCTTTGGTATCGTTATAAATTTGTGCACGGATAATGATGAAAAATGTCGCCTTTACTTGCAATCTATTGCCAACGGGTATTTCAATTTTGTGCAAAATAGCATTGGTTGTAAAAGTGCAGCTAGAGATATCCTAGATGAAGCAAAGTGGATTTGGATGGAAGAAGTTGCAAATGCAAACAATACCAATTACAGAATTGTTTCTAATACCGTTTTCGAAGAAGAGTTAGACTGTTCAGATATCGTATCATCACCAGACTACAAGCTGCTTGTGTGCTTACATGGACAGAGAATTAAAGTCTTTAAATTGCCATGTTTGATATTTATCTTTGAATTGAAAGTGAATTGGACGGAACAGTCTTCCAGATTTCTTACATTTTCTCCAGATTCCTCTTATTTCTTATCCAATTCAGTCAGGTCTTCTATCTGTATTCGAGAACAAAAGGAAGTACCCTTTATCCCACATGGGCCTGATAGTATTCGTTCCTGTTCGTTTTCTTCATGTGGAACGAAACTTGTTACATTCGAAGAAGACTTTATTAAAGTGTGGGATGTAAGAAAGAAAGTTATATTAAAAGAAGTTCAAACACAACCGTGTCACGCAGATGATTATTGCTTTATTAAAGGTAACCGATATATTCTTGGACTTGGCGGACTTCCTGGTAAATTTGCTTTTTGGGATTCTACAACGTTGGAAAAGCAAGATATTAACAACATTTGTTATGACCCCTGCTTAATAACATATAATGATAACATTCAAATTATTTCAAGTCCCTCATTGTTTTCTGATTCTGAGAATATTGCAACTCGTCATTTCCACTTACCAAATGGCGAAATAGTTGTGACAATTAATAAAAATTGTTCAAAGCCATTTACATGGAAAGGCAGAAAGTGCGTACTTTTTTCAACTTCCTTTCCTTGGATAGTCTATGACTTTATAAAACAGGAAGTTGTCGACACGTTTCGGATTGGTTGTTTACCATGTGGATTCAGTTCTCGTATTAAATGGTGGTCAAAATTAGATGGGACAAATTTCCTTATTTGTTTTGGTGATAATCAAGTCATCCTTCTGTCATTCGAAAGTAATCCTGTAGAACCTTCTGTTGCTCCATTTGTCAACAGCGCTGCGGTTCAATGCTCTACCGTATCCGCTGACAATTTGTATGTGGTACGCTGTTACGAAAATTATATTTTGGGTATCTATAGTGTCGATAATGGGAAATCATTGCAAACTGTTGAACTGAAACAGTCACCGGTAGCTTGTTGGTGGTCAGAGTTGTATCTTTGGGTAGTATGTGAAGATGTTGTTGTAAAGTTTCCTTATGACTCTTCTAACTCAAATGTCTTGGGAAATAATATGGAGGAGTGTAGCATCAATTTTGACAGTGTCCTTGAATTTTCTGATGGTGTTCTTGTCGTTAACCATAATATGGAGACTTCCATTTTGAAAATTTGTAATGAAAAGCTCTGTCCTCAACAAATACCTGATACTCATTTTCTTGCCTCATCTGCTGCAGTGAGTTCAGATGGGTGTGCTGTTTTTTTATATTGTTTATCACTTTCAGATTATCAACTATGGGAAGTGGCATCTGAGAACAGATGGGAATTGATTTCATCGTCAAAATATAAGTTCAGTTATATTGATGACGTTGATGGTCTTTTTATGCTTCTCGCACAATCTTGGTTCTTCTTAGCTGGCATACAAAATTCTCGGCATTGTCTGTGTGTGAATGATAACCCCATGACTCTCTTCTCCTTTAGTTCCAACCCCAGTTTTTCACTATGTGTCATTGATTTCGCAAATGAAATGCAAGACGAAGACGGAATTGATATCGAAGGAGATTTACGTGAGGTGATTTATTCACCCCGTGGCTTTTTTGTTATTCTTGTGGACTTGTGGATATACCTTGTTAAAGTCTCGGATGGTGAAATCATTGCAATCAAGTTATTTTTTGATGTATGGAAGAATGAATGTATGTTTTATCTCACTTCACGGGGAGCCCTCCTCTTGCTTCTAAAGAATGATTTAAGGTATTTCAAAATTCACAATATTGAAAATTACCTTAACTTATGTTGACGTTATCAGTAGACAACAACCAGTGAGTGATGAACAGACAAAACATTCAAATATCGTGACACAGGCAATCCAACTGTATAAATTAAATCATGCCAAATGCGGGACTTATTCTTTATCAGAGCTAAATACTGTCAATTTTACAAAAGCTGCTTAGGTCTTAAATTTAGGCTAGGATATAACCAATACTAGAAGGGTTAGAAATGGGTTGCAATTTGGATTCGAATAAGTGGGTTGATCAGTTATGTATACAAACTGAAAGATTGGGCAGTCTGTAAAAGCATCATAATGTTGGGTTACTTGAAACTGGTTAAGCAACATTTAGAGGTATTATTAGTAATATGTATTGCAGTTGTTCAGAACATTAACATTCGTCAAAATTGTCTTGAAATGTTGTAAATCATTCATCCTGATAGGCACACAACATGAAATAATTACATAAGGATATCTAATTAATCTCTGGAAGATGCATTAAGTATCGGGGGTATTATTTCAATCCTTGTGCAACTTTTAATGATTTGAAAAAGTGAACGTGCATGGAGGCCTGTCACAGGAAGAATCTGCATGCAGTACTATTTACTGTTTTTCCATAAACCTAATTTATACCGGACGGGAAAAGTATTGAAGAGTGAAGACCTGTTTGCATCCCAAAATTTGTCATAACTGAATGAATGAGGTTAAATATTTAAATTTAATTCGTTGAGTATTGTGTACAAAAGACGCAATTTCTGTAAAAGGCCGTTGGGAACCCCTAAGTTGAAGCTTTGCAATTTTTGATTTTAAAAATTCGCCAGAAAAAAACGATCGTTCTCCGATGATTAACGAAGGAATGCCAGTTCTCTTAAAGATTTTTCTTACAAAACAACGTCAAAGTCAGCTTTTTAATGGCTACGTAATGGATATATTGCTGAAGTTGGTTGCTTTTGGTGCATGTAAACAGGTCCTTGAAAACGTTAAGGTATTTTATACGCCATGATCTTGCATTTTGTAAACGAAACAACGTACCCTTTATAAGTAGAAAAAACAGTTACGCTCATTTTAAGGTTACGTTAACGAAACTAGGTAGCCTTTATTCCATATTTTACCAATTTTGGATGCTAAATAAGAGCAATACAGAAAGAGGATATTCTATTTAATCCATATAAATAATCTTATAATAAATAATATAATATTGCCAAGCAATATAGAGTTGACATTATATTACTTATTGCACGGACGTTTCTAATGAATTAAGTCTATTTTTACCACACCTCAGCAATATCGATGCCATCTTGAATACGCAATGCATTTAATTGGTCTGATATTTTGTAGTATTGGATTAACTGAACGTTAAGCCTGGAATCTGGATTACACTTTGGATGTTTCTGCGATAATGATATGGCCCGACGTGCGTTTCTAACCAATATTTGAAAAAAAGGTTATTTCTGCATGATAAACTGATAAAATTAACACTTCACACAATCGTTTGAAAAAGGGACTTTGATAGTTTAAACTTTGCGTTTTAGGTGAACTTTGCCTAAACGAGCTTTAAATATTATTAGTTTTTGAAAATACTGAAAAGAAAATGCGCGGTGGCTTTTAAGGTTACAGGACACCCTTTTTGGCGTTTTGCGGAAAACTGCTACTGCGGCTCAATATCAGTCCGCTTTTAATCAAATTTTCACCAAATGTTCGCCAGTGCATGCAAAATTTGGTAAAGTTGTAAAAATAACAAACAATAAAATAATGTAAGAATTATTCAGGAAAATCTTAAATCGCGGTACCGTTACGCTTTTGAGTTGTGCTCCTGCTGGTTTTAAGTTATATTTATGAAAATATCATTTTTATACAGTAAAATAGTTGTTCTAAAAAATTGTGTTTGGAAATTTTTGTTTATTTCGTCATTCCGCTGATATGGCGATTTCTTTGACGACTGCAATATATTTCTGAATTGTTTGAGTGAATTGCTCTTTATTATAAAAATATACAAAATTTAAAAAAAGCCGAACACAATTTTGAAATTGACGTCTTTAGCTATGTCCTGTGAAAATTTGAGAAAAATTGGTTAAAACCCGCAGGAGCACAACTCGTTTGAAAATCAGTATTACCGTAAAATATTTCGGGAGAAAGTTGAATTTGAATATTACATTTTCAATCTCTTTCTTATTGTAGCGAAATGTATTTAATTAAATTACTCTGCGAGTTTTCAACATTTTTCGTTCAAACTTGGTCAGATAGTAGAACTAGTCAAATGCTTTCATGGAAACCAATAAAAAAAATTTAGGCAAAATTAACACTCAAAGGTGTTCTGTAACCTTAAAGAGGTTAAAGTATGTTCGTTCTGAACATTATCTACATGACCTGCAGAGGAGGTAGGAACATTATGCAAATTTTAATTGATAACCAAAGTGGTATAATTAGTAATTACGTGTTAAAATTTTGATTGACACTTAACAAATTCCCTTATTCACCTGCCTGGCCATGGGTGGGTGCTCTATAGCCTATACTATGCATTACCACTTAAGATGGAGTCATTATTGTGGAAGGCATCAATCGTAAAAAATAGATGCAAGAGTAATTAATTAAGTCTTGTTGACACTAGCCTGAGTATCAGGCCATATTTTTCCTTCCTTATTGCGGGTGGATGGAAGGGAAAAGAGAGCCTGACACAAATCCCTGTCTGGCTCTAAAATTAAAATCCAGCTTTTCAACCAGTTGGTCTATCAGACAAAAAATTTTAATCTGGCTTTTGATTGGTTTAGTGCTATAATTAGATTGTTGTTATTGTTGTATGTTCCCTTGGAACATTTTGATTGGATACTAAATATAACCTTCACTGTGGGTGGAGAGCGACCAGGCTAAGGTTTGTGTCACACTCTATTTGTAAAATACTGATACTCGGGCTACGCAAACAGTGTTGCTGGTATTCCTCTCCTTATAGGTCTTGGAATTCATTATTATATTTGGGTTCTCTTTCAAGAAGCCCCATTTTTATATTTTTTTAAATCGTGCCACTTCCCTTATGAAAAACTCCACATATTTCACATATGAAACAAAAATTAGAATGAAATTAAAAAAAGTCTTTCATATAAATAAATATGTAAATAAAGGTTTGTGTGTAAAAATGTACATTGCGAATTTTTTACATTCAGTCAAAAATAATATAATTATGTGAACTTTTCACATTTAAAATCATATGTGAATTTGAATTTTTTGTCAATAAAATGAGATCAATAAAATAATTTGCATCCGCTAGTAGGAGAGAAATTACTGAGGACATTGATGAAATAGTCTGAACTAAGCTAAAAATCTTAATTTCTTATAATGACGTCAAACGCGGAAAACCAATTTATGCGATGTCCCACAGGACAATGCAAGTCGTTGGCGAGCCAATAAATTTCATAAAAACATTTGCGTTCGGCGAATTGTCGCTAAAATTGTCCCTTAGGATATAACATTAAGTGTTTTTCCGCGTTTGACGCCATTATAAGAAAGGTCTATTAAATTGTGCATATATAACCATAATATGTACATATACATATGTATTTAGTTTATTATCAGCTAGGTGTATACCACAAGATATCATGGCGTATAAAATGTACTTATATTTGACAAATAATTTTTTTGAGAAAAATCAATCGTATATATCGTGCGGTTTTTCTGTGTACCATATTCATAAACTAAAAACTACAAAATGTCGTGATTTCTCTTAAAATTCAGTAACACGTGACAAACCAAGTTATCTTCGGTACAGTAGTCGAGACTTCCATATAGTTTAATAGTAATAAAATTAAGAGTGGCACAAGCATCGTAAATATTGTAATTATTAAATGTTAGTGTTTGTAAGTGAATTAATATAAAAGAGATGCATGCCACATGGTGCATATATATCGAGCAGCAGTATTTTGTACTAGTATAAGCAAAATTCTGTAACTGTTCCTAGTGCTGAATGTTGTAATCTTAGACTTAGAGTTGAATAATCTGAACTTAATTTAGTTTCATCTGATCAATGAATGCAACGACATGGACATTTTTAATCGAAACATTGATGATGATAAGAAAATCATTTGTAATAAACATACAGTACTTTTTAAATAGTAATACAGTACAGATCTCATGAAAATGTTGAGTGTCGAAAACTAGACAAACTATTAGTATTACACTCGAAGTTTCAATTTATTTAGGGAAAGCTAACAGCTAACTTTATTCCCACAGCCAGCAAATTTACTTTTTGTTGCACTTTCTTGGCCTTGCGAAATTAATAATGCTAAAAATAAAAAAGTCTGACCCAACTGGATCAACAAATAATTGTACAATTTTCCTTTTATGATGGCATGTTTACCTGAACTAGACGATCCACCGATTGAGATCAGCGAGACCAGTTTGGGCAGTGTATCATTCTTAACTGTGTTCTACAAGCCCATGTACTGACTCCGACATGCAGCTATCTTCTACTTTCCTCATCCCACTCCAACCACACCAAAAGTTCTGCTTATATTTTCAGATAATTGTATATCCTTCACACCGCACCGAATATAATTTGAAATTCATTATTTTAGTATTAATAAATTCCGTCCAAAATGTTATTTTTCACTTTCTATTGTTACCAATTTAAATTCAAAATTAACTTTGAAAAGGAACAGAACCGACGTACATCTCTTCTGCTTGAAGCTCCTTAGCACATTTGCTCGTTGTTGTACCTATATAATACGCAACGCTAAGTGCATGAATTCAAAATGGGTTGATGCTAGTATTCACAATTTAAGGTCATGCATGTTCCATTTACTACGTTACGTTGAGTGGATGAGTACAGTTATATTTGGGACGTCTGTGTAATATAGTTTAAAACAATGCCCCATGTTTGAAAACATACTTTTCACCCACTGAAGAGGTAAATTTCTTAGTGAAAATGACCAAGTTCCGCAATTGCAACCCCTCTTCCCCTCCTACTTATCAGTGTCTTCATCAGAACGAAACAGCGTTTAATTAGAGAAGCCTGGTTAAGAAACGCGAATTGGATTTAATTCTTTCATCTTTGTTTATTGACAAATTTATAGGACTTCATTGAATTACAGAGCATAATGGACATATTTTTGTTCTTGTTATTCAATACTAAATAAAGGTATTTATTTAATATAATGTTTGTGCAAGAATGATGGATGGGTAAAATTATTAATTGTTTACTTCAGTTATCTGATGTTGGGCAAATAGAGTGCATGGGTATAAAAAAATGAACGGTCTCCTCTTCAAAATATTTTATCGTAGACGATCGAGTAGTATCTTATCAACCGATCGAGTAGTTATATAGTCATCTACCTGTTAGGGTGAGGGACCAATGCCCCGGTTAGGGGGTTAGAGTTCGACGAGTCTTCGAGGTGTGGGGTGAACGTCAGGATGTACTAAATTTCTAACTAAGAGTTTACTTGCTTGTTTACATTGGCCAAATTCCAATTGGTATTGCGATTCCAATTGGAATTCCAACTGGATCTTTTCATATTGAAATTCCAACTGGTTCTTTTCATATGGGGACGTACATTTGTACTTTTAGCAGTCAGCGACGGGATTTATAAGTGATCTGCATGAACGGAAGAAGGGAATGTATGTAAAGAACAAGATGAATTTTAAAAAAAACTGCTGTATAACACTTCGAACTTTGATATCTTTATTACATATATTACCGAAATCAGTAGAGTGTCTTTACAGTCTGAAGCCAGTAGAAACGTTCATAGTGTTTTATGACGTCACGGTGAAGGAATGCAGCGTGGAAAGTGAAGTCAGTGAGCTTTGACCATGCCACAAGTTCATATCAAGACAGCCTAATAGGAGTGGTTGGAAGCGACACAAGCAAAAATGAGTTTAATTCTGAAGATTTTTTTATGGAAAAGAGCCATTGGCAATTTGTCAAACTCAATAAAGTTACTAATATTAAAGTAAAATAACACAGTGTATTCAACTTCCGAAAAAGACACTACTGATTTCGGTAATATATTCTTGTTAATTTTATAACATATATTCTTATAATAGTAGTATAATACAAATTTAGACATTAAAATTTACGACTTTATCTTATTTTCCCAAATTATAATCCATAATCTCATACAGAATCTAAAATTCTCACAGAATTACAGATGAATTGTTTTTATTACAGTATAGAATGCTAAACGGTAAAAACGGTGGTAAAATGTGTTCTGCTTAGTCTTGTGGATAGATGTAATGACATACCAAAAGACAGATGCATTCTTCTTATTGAAGACTTGGTAAATACTTTTAATTGTAAATTGCATTGCTAAAAGCAACAGAGGGAAGGGGAACTCTTTCGGCAGTCTTGGCATCCGGAAATAACTTGCACGATTCCAGGAAGTAGTTTTGAACTTCAGGAATTCTGCTTGATATACTAAAAAATAGTTAATAATTTTTCATCATAATTCTCATTAACACCAGATAAGAATACATGATTGCCATCTTATGAGACAGCCGAAAGAATATAAGACACCAAATATGACGTTTGTTAGTTTACACGCGACTACTGCAACACCAGCCACATAATATATACAAATAACTTTTCCAAGAAGTTTTAACTTTAACAAGAAGTTATCTCTGAATAAAGGTGAGCGCACGGGGAGTGATGAAAAACATGTAAGCCTCTGCGGAGGATAGAGTTATCAGGTCTATTCGTTTTTCTCGTTGATGTAAATGAATCTAATTTTTTCGGAGCACATTATAGTCAAAACCACCATCGTTCAGACATGCCATCAAGGACAAGGGTGACCTGATGTCGCAAAGTGACTTCTCATAAGTATACTCTATCCGTCACCAAAGTGGAGATGTATGGAACGGAAATTCAATAGCTTGCGTATAGTTGGCGGTTTTAAGGGCCCGCGAGCAATGCTCCCCCGGAAAAATGTTAGTGTTGGTAAAATGCTATTTTCAACATTATGAGGCTATTACAAGAAATAAAAATATGCTTGCACTGGTCGAAAAGGCATGAGAAATCAGTAAAAGTCATATACATGGTGTTTATAATAAACTGTTAATTCAAAATAGTTTAAATTGCAACTTTGATGAATTTTAAACAGGCTTGTAAGACATGAACAAAATCAATTCAATAAAATCAGTACTGCGTCTGTGCGTTTTCTAATGTCACAAAATTTCAGAAAATAATCAAAAACTAAGTAAAGAAAAAACTGCCAAGAAGAATTCAAGGTCTTTTCAAGCATTTTTTTTTTCCAAATTCAAGGACTTTCAAGGCCTTGATCATTTGTTTTCCAAGTTCAAGGACGGGAAGGGGCTTTTTCCCTATACAAGTCACTCACCATTTTGTGTAAGTAGCAGTACAATCCTGTTGGCTGATGGCGAACAAACGTAATGACATATCTGTAGAACATATACTACCACGCATCATCTGACAATTAACATCGACAAACTCTTTTTCGCACGTTGGACTTGTAAACAATTTTTGTTTGACCAACACCGCCAGAGTATTAATGAAAGTCTTAGCCCCTGCCTTGTAAAAGGCTCCCATGGCTTCGGGATACTATAGAAAACAATATTGATCAGTTAAAATTATTCAAAATCACTATAAATCATCAAAGACATTTTGGCAATGTATTATACCTGAGCTGGAAGAGTTAAGTTAAAAAAGTGCCCTTTTTTATGGGCTATTAAAAGTGCCCCATTTAAAGAACGAAAAAAGTATTTCTTGAATGAACGCCCTCTCAGTTACTGGAAAGAAAGTGCCGTAGTAAAGACTCTGTAGAAACTGTTTTGCAGTTGTAAAGACTTTGTAATTCCGTAAAGGGCATTTCCGACGTTATATAGAGACTCCATATTTTCAAAAATTTTCGTTCGGCCTGTGAACGAAATAAAATCGTTTGATTTTGGTACGTTATATGCAAAAGTGCCCCTTTGGGCCAACGCCCCTCCACTTTCAAAATGCTTCCGCGGCCTCTGGTCACTCGAATATACATTCAATGATATCGTTTCAAATATTCATGTTCCTACCCTCAATATTCATGTACTCCTATCATAAATATTCATATTCAAACTACTTTGAATTCCAGTATTCAATATTCAATAGTCGCTTCCAACCCGCCCGAAATTATAGATAAAGGAAACTTTTAAAACTGAAATATATATTTTACACTTCCTTGATGTCTGGATGATTTCATTTTTGAGATGCTTCATTTCGTTAGATACATACAGTAAGAGGATCCTAACCTCAAAAGGGGTAAAATGGGAATCACTCCAGGGAATGGCCTTCCTCGAAGTTTTACTGACTTGATTGATAGACTAAATTAGACTTTGAACCTTCGGCTTGGCAAAACTAGTTCTAAAGAGTTCAAATGAACGCAGAAAATGTCACTGAATTGTGTTCCAAATTCAACATATAAATGAAATATCTGCCCTGGGGTCTTGGTTCAATTTCACATTTGGAACTTTGGTTTTTTTAAAAAAAAATGGTTGGGAAATGGGATTAATTAAGCCCTCCCCCCCTTTCAGGATCGTCATAAATGGTTATGGTGATGCATGTGATTTCCACTTGTGTTCAATTCTTAATGACTATTTACTATTAGTCATCTTCTTATCATTCCTTGCAGTAGAAAATTACTGGTGAAAATCACATTGCCTGGCAGTAGTCCAAATCCCATTCTTCCAGTAAAAATAGGAAATCCTAATAGACAATTCCCATTATAGACTAATTTTAAAACTACAATCTTAGCAAAAAATTAATGAAACACCTATAAAAAATCAATAAAATAGACAAAATCCCCTCCCCCTGCACAATGTTGGACATAGAGTCTAAACAATTGTGTTCAATAGTTCATCGATGGCAGAGAGCTCTATGTGTAGGTCTCTTGCTCATCTTAATCAACATTGGAAGGGGGGAAGAATATATTAAATTGTTAATCATACTGGATGTTTCATTAGTTTTCAGTGGCGTGCTGGGTACTATTTTTCTGGAGGGGCCAGTGGGCTGTCAACCAATATGCGCCCCTATAATGTTACACTTGATAAACGAGGGCCGAAGGCACGAGCCGAGTGCCGCAGGTGCGAGGTTTGTCTAGGGGGTCCGGGGGCATGCCCCCCAGGAAAATTTTTGAATTTAGAGTCTCTGAAATGCCATTTCCTGGACTTTGGGGGAAGATTTGACAGAAATCTGATGGTCAGGAAACGGCATTATAACGTGTCGAAATTTGCAATTCGGTTAGAATTTAGTAGCAGTACTTAAATTATGCAATGCTAACTACTTCCAGCGATTAATCTAATCCCAATTCTGTTCTCTACTGATCTACTGTTCTGAGTACATTTACAACTTAAGAGGCTGTCTCCGTAAAAACCTCCAGGTCAATATGGGGCTCAAAAATAGATTTCTCTCGTATTTTGAAGATCTATCCTTGGGAACAACTAAAATCGATTTCATTTTACTCAAATTTCCTTTAAATTATTTTGGGGGGCGATTGAAGTTCGATCGGCTGGTAACCAACTTGAACTCCGAATGAAGGCAAAATATCGACATATTTTCAGCGCTATTTTTTAGATCAAATTCATACCTAAATTTCAAAATTTTTCCTCAGAAATATAGACTTATCCTTCTATTTTCGTTGTTGATATGTCTTAGATAATTATTCTTTGGTATAAAGTAGAAAACAGCGCAGTTATTGACCCCCCTGAACGGATAACGGATATAGTCTCAAAATATATAAACTTTGAAAGCTTATTTCAAAATCGTGGCACTTGATTGGCACATATCTTTAACTTTTCTATAAACTACTAACATTAGTCAACACAAATCGCCAATAATATCTTTCTGCTTTATCATTTGACAAAAATGACAAGCGCGCAAACTTTGTAAAATTTGAAAATGTGTCGAAATCGAGCATACTTTATCAGTAAACCTAATTATTGATATTAACAGATAAAATCACCTTACACTACACTGAATGAAGCTTGATTATGTAAATATATGTCTTTCATCATTATTCTTTGGTTTGACACTTGAATCAAATTGTTTGAGTACAGTTTGGCTTCATGGATATAGAGTCACTCAATGCCAGTGTGTCCCGTGTCTTCTGCGCGCCTCAATGTCACGAGTCCTGATTGTGACATACTATACAAACTGCGCTCTGTTCGCTTTGTTTATACCTCTTTAACAAATACCTTTACCTGCATGTTTAACAAATAATAATGTTCAATGAAATTGGAAAACTCAGAATTAGCCATACTACAGACAGAATTTTCATCGTTTTTTTTAAATTAAATTAAAACTGTTTTATAAAATTAAATCTCGG